TTATTTAGTTTATAACTGAATACTTGCACAACTAACAATATTCTGCCTCCGCTATACTTTGTGTTAATTAGCAAATGTCAGTATGCAATTACGCTAAACTATGATGGTGAACATGGCAAACATTATACCTGCTAAAAATCCGCACTTTAACATGGCCATTTTGAGTGTGTTAAGATGCTATACCAAGCTTTGGCTACACAGACCTACTTGTTAGTAGGATGAACTCACTGTTGGCTGTGGACCTTTCATTGGCTGTGTTGACAATAAGAAAGATATTGAATGTCAATTACTTTTTCTTTAATTTGGTCCAAGTATTTACAAAGAAGGTTCCTTTTTGTTACCGCTCATGTTATACTTTTTGTTCAATTTCCTACCAGATGTTTTCTTTTCTCCCCTAATCCAATATAACCACTGTGCCTGTAAATCTTAAATAGTCAAGGAGCAGCAGTTGGCATGATACAGAAGAGAGCTTCCAGTTAAAACTTAACACAAGAGTCTTGCTTAATTATGAAGTAAGTTGTCATTAAAATGTAAACTGAAAACTAGCAGACTGTGGCAAAGGCACAGCTGGCTTCACACAAGTACTGCAGACAGTCCTGCCCTTGGCAAATGTGCCTTCTGGTAATCTTGTGGTGGAGTAAGAGCAGTACCACCCACCCACCACAAATCTGTTATCTTAACTCATATTTTCAATACATTCCCTCATGGGTTCTCTTTCATTACAGCCCTCACCACTTCTGTATCAGGTGTCTGGGTGTGTGCAAGTGCTGGGATCTGTTTTTCATATTTCTGTAGGTCTCCTGGCTCAGACCTTCCATGAACCTCCCCTATAGCCTTTCAGTGTACCTGCACTGGCTCAGTATGTTACAAATGTGTGGGATTTGACTGAAAATTCAAATGTTTGGTATAAAATGGAGTTAATGTGGCCATGGATGGCATTAAAAATTTCACTTTAATAAGAAAGCGTCCACTGCCAGTCTTTGATGGATTCATGTGTAGAGCTGCATATGTCAGTAATGGTAGAAGTCAGCAGGTGATTATCATTGCGCCTCACTGACTCATTTTAACTTGCCATTTCTGCCTGGCTGGTACAAGTAGATAAATCTGAATTTGGTAAGGAATAAAATAAATGGATGTGTCTGAGGAGCAGCAGGGGGAGCAGGAATCCCTGATTTATGAGTAATGTTTTCTGGAGTCTATTTTTGGAAGGGAAGCTTGTGTTTTGATCTTATTCGTTTTGACAGCACAACGAATGGAGCAGGGGTGGGTGACGTTCAAAAATGCATGCTAAGTGAAAGATCCCTCCTTCCATCTTCAATAGCGAGGCTTGGATCTGGAAGTGGAGCTAACGGTGAGCCAACTTCAGGCTGATTTTGGCAGTCGGACCAAATCCAACCAGAAGGCAGTCTGGTGGATATGCCCAAAGAGGTTAAGTCACCTTCATCTAACACTTCTGACAGGCACACAATATGACCCAGTTCACATCGGAGCTCATCAAAACAAATCTGCAGAGGATTTTAACAGATGCAGAAGAAGCAGAATTAAATGGGTTCAAGAAAGAGACAGCAGGGGCTTTGAATCATTTCTGTGGTCTCTTCTTATGTTTAGTTGCACTGAAGAGTCCTGACCACAGTTAATGGGACAGATCCCAGAGCATTACCTAAGCTCAAACTGCTGCTGTAGCAAAATAGTTCTCTTTTATCATTGTCGAAGGAAAGAATGCTTGTCTCAAGGGAAATATATAACATCAGGTTTTTGTGTTTTCATAAGGCACAATGACTTATTGACAGAAAGAAAGTGTCTGAGCCAACATTAATTTTTTAATAACTGGCTTAAAAGTTCAAAAATGCCCCGGCGCCTGTATTTTGTCTTCAAAATATGGAACAAGCTGCAGTTTGTTTTGTCACAGATTATAAACCATTTGGGGGAATAGGAAAAGACACTTAAAGGAAAACGGGCCATGTGTCAGAGCTCAGAAACACCTTGGCACTGTCAGTCAGTTATTATTACCCGGAGAGGACTTTTTCCTGTCTTTCCGTAATCACAGGTCATCTCCTTCAATAGCTCGGTCTCAGCAATTGGCCCGTCTTCACGTCTCCAAGCCCACAATATGAATCTCACAGGCCCTGGCCTGACAGGAGTGACAGTGTTTACACAGAGGCTCCTCAGCCAGGGCTGTGAATCTCATCGGCAGTTATTACCACCAGGTTTCTCTCTGTCGTTCACACCCTGCTGGTCTTCATCAAGTCAGCCACAGCAACCATGTTTTTTTTGTTGACTTATTAAACTGGTATTTTCTCCTCTCCTCCCTCAGAGCCAGACCTGACCAGATCCAGCCACCTCATCTATATTAATGCAGTCCTTACAACGAGACAGGTCAAACTTTGCGGTGGCTGGTTTTCCCAGTTCAGAGGAACAGGAGGACTCTGCCAATCAGCCCACTGACTCTAAGTGGTGCCACTGAGCTATTACTGTCTACTGGTAACCTCCCCAATTAAAAGATTTTCTTTTACACTAGAACACTCAAAAAGTTTATCCAAATACCACATTTACGTCCCCTACTTTCTCTCCAACTTTATTTCCACATACACCATGAATGTATTGCATATCAGAATGTCCAAGTTTTCCAGTCTAACTTTGTTGTGGCTTTTACCCTGGGCCAGCAGATTCTTAGGACTCTGCCAATTAGCCCACAAGTTATTCTGATGGTGCCACTGATTAGGTCCGTCTGCTGAGAGGACGACGTGATGCATGAGCTTTGTACATGGTGTATATGATCACGGGGTCTGTACCAGATGTACATATGGAATATTAAAACAAGCATAAAATACAGCTTAAATTCATATTCATGTCTAGAGGACCTAAATCCAATTTCATTGTTACCTTTACCTATTTATTCATAGTAATGACCAGGAAATCTAAAGTCTTTACAACTTTAAAGTATACATAAAAAGCATTCAAATGTCATTCATTTTTCAAATACTAGTATTACAGAAATTAAAAAATACAAATCTTACCTGTGTCAGTGAGTTGAGTCAGCGGTCCAGGAGTTGCAGGTAAGACCCAGCTTGGTGTCTCAGTTGTGTTTCCTTTGCAGCTTCATGCTTTCCATTCTCCTCCTCTCACTCTCAGTCTCCCTCTGTCTTTGCTCTCATTAAGAATGAAGGCCTGCATACAGCTGTGGCACAAGCAAACACTCTCCACTAGGAGAACAGTAGAGGGTGGTCCATATGCAGAAAGAGGGAGGCTGATGGTGTGATTTTCTCTGTAGTCTGAGCAGAGGGAAGGCTTGGCCCTGCCTTCCTCCTCTGATGTCGCGTAAAGTTTGGGAAGAAAAGACAGACTCCTCCTAATATAAGGTTTCACCACAAATGAAAAACTAAGCAGTGAATCAGACTGGCTGGGAGTCAGCAAGAGGGGTGAAGACACTCACACTCCAAATCAATCTAGCTGTCATCATTTAACTCTCATATGGTCTTGTTACAAGGTTGTATTGCCTCCCACATGCACTATTTGTCTTGTAGAAGTTGATGACATGCACATAAACTCTCTTTTTCTTTCTTTCACACACACACATCTGACATCTTCATTCATATAACTACTATTTCTCATTGTCTACATACTCCTCCTCACAAAGCTGTTTCCTATCAGCTCTAATCTAATGACTGAGTGATTCTGGCGATCAAGTAGCTTTAGCATATCAAGTGGAAGGTCTGTTCTGGATGTGAGCGTTTCTCTTGTGTTTGCTCCGTTTATGGGATGTGTGTGTCTCTTGCGGCAACCCAAGAGCTATTGGCAGCTGTGTTTATTTGGTTATGAGGACAATATGCAGAGGGCTTTGCAGACAAAAAGTACGCCCCCCAGCTAAATGTTTTGGATTGAGGAGGAAGCACAGGCTTTGATGCATGGGGATTCTCTGCGTGGGGAGAAATACTTCAGCATGTGGGAGGACACATTTGCTTAACAACAATCGAGGCAGGACATTCATAATGTAGGAGTGTGAGTGTATGCTTGTGTGTGACCCATACATGTATGAGAACATGTGTTTGCGTATGTGTGTCTCCAAGGTAGTCGGTTGTATATAATAGGGGTCGTCCAATTTAAATAAATTATACATAGATGAACATGTGTTGGGAGGAAGCTGTTATTGAAAGAAGCTCAAAAAACACATTTGTGCTAATTCAGTCCATGCCTGGAAAACGTCATCTGCAGCACAGTTAACAAGCCCTTCTCTTGTGTTGTCTGAATCAGCGTTTCCAATATGTGGGAAGAGCCCAACTGAGGGGTCCCGTAATAAACGTGAGAGGGCCCAAGACGATGTAAGGGATCAGAAAGCTTTTTTTTTTTAGACAAAATTATTATGGTTAATTTTCTGAACTTTGAGAAATGTTTCCTTTTTTTCTTGTGAAATATGAGATACTTTAAAAATAAACAATCTTAGCAGGACAAATGTCTCTGTGTTTTTTAAAAACATAAAACAGGATTTGTTTGTGTCCTTGTGGGACGCCTCCATGCTACATTTGTGCCCTAATGTCACATTAGACACAAGGCAAGGTCCTTCTATATAGTTTGCATGTACAAAAGGGAGTTTGGGCCTTTGTATTTAGGGATTCATTGTTTAGTATTGAAAACGTACATTTCCCTATTACTAACATAAGCTGTCACACAGGTTAAATGTTAAATTCCAGCTCTCTCTGTGAGCCCCTCCTTGTGGCTAAACCAGTTTATTGCCACCTTCACAGCTGTTGCAGGTAGCCTACATTAATCCTAAATAGAAACCAGTGGTGGAAGAAGTTTTTATGTAAAAAGCAACTAGTAACTATATATGCACTTAAGTACAGTACTTGAGTAAATGTACTTAGTTACTTTCCCCCACTGCTAGAAACACTGAATGTGCAAGAAAGTACGATCGATAGATGAAGTTAAAAAGTCTAATAAATAGTGAGAAAAACTAAACAACCCCGGTGACGTCATTCGCACTGACCAATAGGAGGCGGGGTCAGACAGTGACAGTTGATCCTCGACGGTCAGCTACAACGGCTGTAACGTTAATCACAACAGAAGACTTCATTTCTCTTTTCTTTGATTTAAAGGGAGGAAATTGGTTCAAATAATGACGTATTGTAATTTAAAAATGTACTGAACGACGTGTTAGTGGTATTTGTTTTTAATTGTCCTGTCGACTGTTTACCTTTCAAGCATGGTGAGTTTGACCCCGTTCCCTTCTATGTGGTGTTGGCAGTGTTTTAGTTTCGTGAACTTTGTGTCAATGACAACCGCTTAGCCTAACGTTATATACTGTACGACCAGTTGCTTTCGTCCACTGTGCCCTACAGAGATCAGTTGGATTAAGTTGGTGATTTAAACGGGCTTTACTTGTGCTCAGTGCCTCATCTGTTGCGGATAAAATTAGACTCCTGCAGCGTTAGAGATCCCGTATCACTGTGGATCTGTTGAGCCCCGAAGGAAGAAGCCCGAGAGACAACTGTCAGGGCCTATATGTGCTTCACAATGTATTTACTGTGAACATACAACCTCTGAAACATATATAGGGTTACTGCATAGATGTATTACACCCTGTACAACACAGAATTATTAATAACGCCCATATAAGTTACGTTGAGGTTGTCAAATAGACTTTTAATATGTTTTCTCTGACCCTTTAAGATGACTGCACTTGTGCTTATACCTAAAGTTACACTATTATATGTAATGACCCAGTTGAATGACTCTTCTCATTACCTGTTGATGTGTTTCAGGATGCTGAGGGACCCCGGGCCCTATGTGACCTCTGCTTGGCTCAGGTGTGCCGCAGCCTTGATGCTCTGTGTAGCAGGCGAGCAGACGGCTCCATGTGCCTCAGCTGGGCCCCACTGTTCCCACAGGAAATGGTTGACCAGTTACTGCATAAGATGGCAACTAAAGGTAGGTCAGGAGGACAGAAAAGGCTCCAACAACATAAGTATCAACAGCTGAGGGCAAGTGCAGCTGTGGAGTGATAGTTTTATAAGCAAGTTGTAGAAAAGGGACAAATAAGCTCACACCATGACAAATGTGACTCTCCTATGACCTTCGGTTAGTTCTCCAGGCACATAACTTCCTGTATAAACAAAATTTAATTAAAATGTCAGAATACTGTTATCCTTAACTTACCCTGGCCTATCATCATATGACCTATTAGCTCACTGTGCCCTATGCCAGGCTAAAACGATGGGAAAAGTCTGTTCCACAAACATAAATGTGGCTAAGCTGATGTTACTTTTCCTACAACATCCCTCTGTTTGCTTTTCCCTACAAGGGATACTGAATGACACAACTGTTGGGATTTTCCGAAACTGCAAAGAGCTCCGGCTGCGCCGAGCCTCCATCCGCTGCTGTCCAGTTTCTGCAGAAGCTTTTCGCCTGGCCCTGTGCCCTCACCGGCTCCAGGAACTAGATGCTTCCTGGGTGTCTGGGGGCCTCACCGGGGCTAACATCATCTCAGGCCTGGCCTCCAACCCGGAATGCCGATCCAGCCTGCAGAGATTGTCTCTCAGTGGGCTACGTCTGGACTGGGAGTCTCTGGAGGAGGATGGAGGGAGCCGTGTTGGCTTTAGCTTCCTGCAAGGCTTGAGGACGCTGAACCTTGCCAACACAGACCTGACTGATGCTGTCCTTGAGGATATCTGCACTCTCCCTCAGCTGGAGAGTCTGGATATCTCCTGTAGTCCCGTCTCAAACCTTACTGCACTCCTTGATTGTAAGAACACCTTGAGATCTTTGATTGCCCACCGGCTGCGGCAGCTGGATATGTCGCCTGCAAGGTTGCTGTTTGTCTTCAACCAGCTTCACGCTCTCAGGCATCTAGACTTTTCAGATGACCATATTACTGTGGACAGTGATGGGAGAGATGGCGACGAGACAGTGCGTCAGCTTCTGGAGGGGAGTCCCCAGGTCCTCCCTTCCCTTGTTTCTCTAGACATCTCTGGACGGAAGAGAGTCACTGAAGCAGCAGTCAGAGCATTTGTGGAGGCTAGGGGTGGACTGGTCTTCTTGGGCCTGCTAGCCACTGGGGCTAGCTCGTGTCATGTCCTGTCTTCACATAAAAACCTTAAAGTAAGGACTTGAGTTTACCAGAGCTGATGTCGTATTATGGTTTGTGACATGCCAGGACATTAGCGAGTGTTATGAGTAGTCACTTGAGCTTGATTCTCGCATACCTTCCTCATTTGTCTTTGACTTGAGGCTCTGTTTGTATGTATGCTGAATATACCCTCTGCATTTCCTGTCTGTCTGACAGTGCTGATGTGCTGTGTGTGTTTAGGTAACTGGAGAAGCTAATGAGAACCAGGTGTGTGAGGCCCTGCGAAGGTACAGAGACCGTGAGTGTTTCATACGAGAGGCCCTCGTTCATCTCTACAATCTAGTCACTGACATTGACAATCCACGACCAGATATGCTAAAGGTACTATGGTTAGCATTGTGTTTAGTGTGAATACCTAATATTAATATTCACGTTAATTACAACAAGGCTCTTATTAGGCCGTTTAATCTATCGTTTTGGTTATGATTACTCACAAAAGAAGTTAGAGCTGAGATCTGGAACTTTTCTAAAACAACATTCAACCAGTAAAGATTGACAGATTGTCCAAGCCACTTTATTTCAAGGTAAAACTGAAGACGAGCACACCTTAAATGTCACCAATAATCCCTCATTGCACAGGAAAACTGGGTGCACAAATAGTTAAACCAGGAAGTCAGTCTGTAAACTGTGATTATTTGTCAGAAAATGACAGTGACAGATCTCAGCAATTACCTTCCTAAGTACAGTGTTTTTAATACAGACAGGAATAATGGCTAAAACTATAATAACAAAACCCAGATTGTAAGAAACTAGAATTATACTTTAATAATTGCATTGTATAATAAATTAAATAAGATTTTTTATTATGTGTTACTCTTGTATTGTACAATATCTTCACTCATCCTCTCTACGATGAGTCGTTTTAGTTACTTAGTTAGTTAGTTAGTTAGTAAATCCTTTATTTAAACAGGAAGTCTCACTGAGATCAAGACTTCCTTTTCAAGAGAGACCTTTCCAAAAGAATAAACATACAGTATAAGCTCAGAAAAACACACAGAAATTCAAAACAACAGTCAGCTTTCATTCACAATGGATCATTATTTCCACAGTAGGAAACTATTTCAAATAGCATTCAAAGTATATATCAAGTAAGGTATAATGTGTTAAAATCTAAAAGGGATGAGATATAAAAATAAATCTACATAGATAGATAGATAGATAGATAGATAGATAGATAGATAGATAGATATAGATATTTTAATTTAAAGGTGTTTCTAACCCCTTCCCTTTGTAATTAGCAGTTTTTTTCAAGCTCAGTTTGAACATACTGTACAGCTTACGTTTAAATGTCCTTCGACCTGACATTATAATTACTGTATTTAGACGTGATCGGAAAGAGGAGTTTAAGAGGCAGTTTCTAGTAGAGCCACTTCACAGCTGGCTTGGTGAGTAGTTCTAGGTGGTGGGAAGCTTACAATCTAATAATATTGGTTCCACTTTATTTGGATAGTCCACCTACCAATAGTTTGTAGAGTATTTGTTTCATCAACTTATTAGTTGATATTCAAAAAACAAACAGTTAATTAAGGTTAGGGGTTAGGTTTGGTTAGATTTATGCACAAACAACATCTTGAGTAGGGTACGTTCATGAACTGCTGCATAGACTCTATAGACGATCTGTTAAACATCTCAAGACAAAGCAAATGTTACAAATACTCTTTAAACTATCTGTGGGCAGACTATCCAAATCAAGTCTTACCAGAAAGACACACAGGTGGCAGTTTCAGCCTTTTCTGGACAGTTTAAAATCCCAACAACTGTCTGTTTGTTGTCCTGAAGCACATGTGATGATGACATAAATGTGTTGTTTCCTGTAGCTGGTGCTGAGTGGGATGCAGAGCCACCCCTCCTCGCTGCACGTCCACCTGGTGGCCACAGCGTGTGTGTTCAACCTGACCACTCAAGACCTGGCAGAGGCCATGCCCGTCAGCCTGCTCAGCTCTACTGTCACCCAGCTGCTGAACGCCATGAAGACCTTCCCCAACCACCAACAGGTCAGGGGATATGCTTAATGTCTCAGATGACAGATCCATAATGATATCATGGAGTCACACAATAGCAAAATGTGGCATAGAACAGTTCTTTTGCTACTAGCTGGCTTGTCATTCATCAGTCTCTGACCTCGTATTTGCTGCATTTGGTTCTTCTACCTTCAGACAGTTCAGTTTGTAGCTACTAATACCTCATGCTGTCATATATTTTCTTATACCCATATGGTTCTTCAATTTATAATATAATAATAATTTCCATCTCTCCAGGTGCAAAAGAACTGCCTGCTGGCGCTCTGCAGTGACTATATCCTTCAGGATGTCCCCTTTGACAAGTTAGTTTACTTTCTCTCAGTTATAATATGACGTATGAGCCCACCGCCATGCAGTAGCCAAGATAATCAGTACACTCTTAGAGTGGCACTCTAGTGTTTTTCCAACAAATTGTGATCCAGTTCAAATATATTTTCTCTTGAAATGAAAGCGCCAAAAGAAACATTCCCTCCAGATGCAGAAGTGCAAACCAGAACTTTTTTCTGTCTGTACATCACTGGTATATTTTTGTAATACTGTGTTCCTTATATCCACGCTGTGATCATGGTTCAGGTATTTAGCAGCCATGCTGGTGATTAACTGGCTGAGCAGCCACGAGGATCCTACCCTTCAGAGGATGGCTGTGGCTGTCATCTCCATTCTGGTGGCCAAGGTCAAGACACCACTCACTTACTGTGCATTAGTGTGCTGCAGGAAGATAGTATAGCACCTGTCAGTTCTGCCTGTTAAGAGCCTGTGGCTCAGTCACCTCCTGCACCTCTTTGACACTAGTTTCAACTGCCAGCTTTCATGTGCTTTCATGTAGTCCAGTTAAGTGGGGTAAATTTCCCTGTGTGATAAAAGCACTGTTTGTTCTAGTTTGACATTTAGGAAAATGGTTTGAATTCAAAAAAGCATTGATCTATTTGTTTAATTTGCAGCTGTCCACAGAGGAGACTGCTCAGCTCAGCAAGGACGTCTTTATCATGAAGGTACATTTACACTTTTAGAGTTTAGTTTCCAACTTACACAACGCTGCCCCGGCTTAGCACCAGATATGCAGGAGTGTATTTCTAGTTCTCTCTCTCTCTCTTTCTCACCTCCTATATTTTCCATTACCTACCTGCTGTATACAGTCATTTACTCACTGTCACTGTCACCACATTGCTCCGTGCACTCTTCTCAGTTTACTGTTACTCCATTATTCAATGACCTCTCTATTTCTCTCTTTGTGTATGTAATCAAGCTTCTCCCTAAGCTTTAGTTATTTTTGTTATTGTATGTCTGGTGTTACTATTATGTAAACAAGTTTATCCAACAGTTGAATTTAATACTGCCGAAGGATGTTCCCTGCATAAATCTATTTACAAAATCTGATATTCTGTCTTTTTGGCTGTCTTACACCCCATCTTCTCATCCCGCTGTCTCACAGCAGCTGCTGGCTATTGTGCAGCAGAAAGCCATGGTGGGAGTGGTGGACTCCACTCTGAAGTTTGCCCTGAGTGCTCTGTGGAATCTGACAGATGAAATGCCCACCGCTGCTCGCAATTTCATCGAGTGCCAGGGCCTGGAGCTGTACGAGGAGGTTCTGGAGGTACAGGAGCCCCAAAAATACACTGATAGACACGTTAATACATGAATGATACACGCACACAATTATGCTGTCCCCTTTTATGTGTTGCAGTCATACTATGGTGAACCTTCCATTCAGCAGAAACTTCTTGGCCTCCTGGTGGGTTAGCGTGTGTGTTTTTCTTCCATGTGTGCCACAGTACTGAATGTTTATAGCTTATTTATTAAAAGTGATTGCAGTGTTTACAGCTTATTCTCATTTTCTTTTTGCAATCATTCCCACATTCAGGGCTTAATGCTGTGACATCAGGCAGCATCTGAAAAAGCTCTGTAAAACATTTTATTGCCCCCAAGTGTTTAAAATTATTTGACCAATAGGAATACAGTTAAATCCATTTGTAGGCATTCTGGCATAAGACAGTGCCTGTATACCCTCTGGCCCTAACACCTTTCTGTCAACATTACTATCACTGCTATTAATTGTGTCTCGCTGTGTTGCAGAACAATATAGCAGAAGTGGAGGTGTTACAGGCGGACCTGCTGGAGGAGGACCTGCTGGAGCACATCCTCAGCCTGCTGCAAGACTCCCAGGTGGAGGTTGGGGTCCGTTACTTTGCAGGGGGGATTCTGGCACAGCTTGCCTCTAGACCAGAGGCCTGGACCCTAGGCGACGAGCTACGCAGCACCATACTGAAGCAGCTGGTGTGTGAGAGAGGCGACTGTTTTGCTGGTTAACAGAAATTCTCCTTCAGCTTATTTCAAAGTATCTTTCTTTCTTTGCAGCATGCTTCCATAATAACGTGGCCCCAACTGGAGAGAGAAATGGTCTCGTACAGGTGAGAGAAACACAAACTGGACACATTTTTGTAAGTAGCTCCTCACCCACAAGCCCCCAGACACACCTGGCAGAGATCTGCACTCTATTAATTGCACTTGCCTAGTTTTTAATGCATCTACTCATCCTGTCTGTTCAATTCAACATTAAATGTTAGCTTCAAGTTATATAACACAGTTGTTTCCCCTCAATAACTCATCTTAAATTGTCTCTTACATAGCATTTTGTCTGGTTGTTGCTGATTTAATGTATACAATGTGTGCATGGTTTGAAACAATGTGAACTTTTAACACAATTGTAATAACCTGTATTGTCATTTATTTGGATATCTGCTGAGGTGCCATATAGGGACAGAATACTAGAGTGTAAACCTCAGACAAACGTAGGAAAAATTTGAAAAGAAAGAAACTGTATTGAAAACAATTTTCTGTGAGTAACACTTCAGTTCACATTCCATGGTTAGCATCCATGCCAAAGCAAATGGTAATTCAAGCTTAAAACAAACCAAAAGAGGTTCAGAATCACTAGATCAGAATCACTTTTTTTAATCTCTCTGTCTGCTTGTGTCCACATTTCAGGTCTTTCCATCCATTTTGCCCTCTGCTTCAGACTTGTCAGCCCTCAGGAGTGCAGCTGTGGGCAGTCTGGGCCATACATCTGGTCTGCAGTCAAAACAGTAAGACACACAAACAGACTACTGTGGGAAGCACATGGTTGGATTTATAGAGGTCAGCATATTTAGATCAATTTGTCATACAGAATTGTGTGTATTATAGTACTAGATCAGTTAGTTGATCAACAGAGAAATAATCAAAGTTGACAAATCAATTAGGCGATCAACAGATAATAAACTAATAATAAATAAACTATTTTGATAATCTATTAATTGTTAATGTATTCAAATAAAAATAGCAAAATAAATGATGATTTGAGTCTGTTAAATATGGAGATTTCCTTTTTTTCTCCTTTTATATCATATTAGACTGAATATTTTTCGGTCAGACAAAACAAGACATTAGAATAATTCATGTTGGACTTTGAGAAACTAGTATTTTCACTATTTTCTGACATTTTATAGACTAAGTAATATATTGCACCATGTGTAATGTTAAATAGATTCATATAGATTTTATCAGCAGTATTAATATTCACGTGCTGGTGGGGTCAATCACTGTAAGCTTCCATTCCTCTCTCATGTTCTTATCACTTCTCTCTATCCTCTAGTTTCACATTACAGCAGCATGCTGGAGAAGGAGGGCGTGACTGAACTTCTGAAGAATTTGGCTGCACATCCCGACACACACAGCGACATTAAAGGACTATCAGACAGCATCTTACATATGGTAGAGGAGCACCACAGCAGAGTCACTCAGGGCCCTTCAACAACCAGATAGGACCTTGAAACTCTTGACAAATATGCAAAGTAATGTTGTCTTTGCCTAAAATGTACTAGACATGAGGTGGCAGATACAGTATTCAAGGACAGACATGTCAGCCCTCTTGGAATTAAAGTGTAATGGAATACATGATGTCCTGTATATTTTATATAGAAAGTATGATCACAGTTATTTTTGTCATTATCTACTTTGATACTGTTGATTTAGTTGGAAATCCTTGAAACAAAAAAAAAACTGTTTACAGACTAGTGAATGTCCTATGTTAATAAATATTTCGACTATTCTAAGGTCAAATTGCTGTAAAATATGAAAATGTTTGACCTTAATAAAGTGTTCCAAATAAATTGTAAGTTAAAGTAAGCTAAGCTTGTGTGTTAAATCATGCTTAGAACCAAAACCTGTCACTAGAGGGTGCTTTGGCTCTGTAGCTCCAGGGCTGGTTGCCCTTAAGATGTTTGTGTAAAATATTCAATCATTAGATGTTTAGATTCAAGATCATACATGATAAATAACAAAATACCAAAGCAGACTGAATCTGCTATGTTTATCTGTCTGTACTGAGGGCCTCATTATACAGCAGTCATGCTCTAAAATAAGTTATCTCTCCTCTCTTGCTCTCCCTCTCTCTCCCCCTGGTATCCTAGATGCTGAATTCATTATATTTTATGTAACACAGCTGGAAGACAGAACTGCTCGTAGGCATCTACAGAGTCTATTCTAAGTTGGTCTATTAATAATTCCATTTGAAAAGTGGATTAACAACCTTGTGTGAATATTTGAGTTGTACCACCATGTTCAACTTTTAAGTGTCAAATCCCCTTGATTCACATTTTTAAATCCCTTAAAAGGAATTCAAAAGGATCTACCAAATAGGCTATGGCTTCCTGTGCTTGTGATTCAGCCAGGTTAGTCATATCCTTGCCAGTGGTAGGCTACACATTAGAAAAGAGCTGCTTAAACTGATCTAGGGTCAGCATTTAACAATCACTTCAATCCCTAAACCTTAATCTCACAGTGGCAGCCCTGTGGGATCAAAAGTAAAGTTCCCTATAGTGAACACGGTGTGATGCTACTGTGAGAAGTTCACGTGTGGAAATATTCTATAGCATGTGAGGAGGTACGGTGAACAGAAGAGCCAAAGGGTAATAGTGGTGTGCATTGTGTTAATCAGGTCTTAAGTTTCTGCCCCTGGCTCAAAGAGCCTATCAATATTAAAGTGACACATGAGACGGAGATAGATAGAAAGACAGTGTCAAATAGACAAGAGGAGGAAAAACAAAGGAGGATTATAGAATAGATCAACATTTTGGGAAAGATTCAGAGTAGAAGATTGACACCGCCAGTTAGCTTAGCTTAGCATAAGTACCTGAAACGCGAGGGGTAACAAAATCATCCTAACAGCATCTCTAAAGCTCACTACTTAACATGTTTAATCTGTTCAAAATCCATGTTAAAACCATAATTTGCGAGGTAATGTGACTATGTCTTGACAAGAAACAGTGATTTGAATCTTGATACTTAAGTACAGATTAAACAAATGAGATATAATCATGTAGCTGGAGCCAGCAGTAATTAGCTTAGCTTAAAGGTCCAGTGTGTAATATTTAGGAGAATGTGTTGTCAGAAATGGAATACAGTATTCATAGGTATGTTTTCATTAGTGTATAGTCACCTGAAAATAAGAATTGTTGTGTTTTTATTTCCTTAGAATGAGCCGCTTTTAGCTGAGCTGTATCCAAATGGTTGCAATCTGCAGCTTCACCACTAGATGCCACTAAATCCTACACACTATACATTTAACATAAAGACTGTAAATAAGGGGAAGAGGTAGCAAAATCCACCTACCAGCACCTCTAAAGCTTATTAATCAACAACTTTCATATGTTTAATTTGTACAAAAGGTTGTGGTTTTACTACGGGAGACTCCAGAAAGTTACTCCAGCACGTAACGCCTTGTAAAAGGACGAATAGTTGTTTGTACACTTCAGTGTTTGTTTAAGGATATAATGTATTAATTAGTGAGCTTTAGAAGTACTGGTAGACAGATTTTGTTACGCTCAGACGGAGCCAAACAAGCTGTTTCCCCAAGTCTTTATCCTATGCTACTCTGCTGGCTGTACCTTCATATATACCAAACAGACGTGAAAGTGGTGTCAGTCCCCTTATCTAACTCTAGGCAAGAAAGGACAACAGAAGGGTTAGCACTGGCAAAAAGAAATAGAGACAGGGAAATTGACTGGTGCAAAAATAGGATTTATGGCCAGAAATATCTAGATGAGATAAATAAAGCATGCAAGGGATAAAGAGTGACATGCTGGAGATGAGAGGAATAGAGTTAAGGGAAATTAAACACCCTTTCATGCTCCACGACTATTTGTGCAAAAATACAGCAGACCAATTTACAGAGTGGCTGTCTCAGTTTGAAACATCATTGTGCCGCTTTTGAGTTGGAGCTTAGTGTGAGTAAGCATCTCGTTATCTCACTCATGCAGCTAGCTCCATTGGATTAACATAATTGTGGACCAGTCTGGGCAACCAGAACACACTAATGTACAATGCAACGCATCTCCAGCTGTGAGTGTGCAGGCATGTGCTAGCCCACTTGTTTGGCAGTATTTGCAGTGCACGTGTACTCGTGCACTTAGTGAGCTAACAAGGCCCCACTGTGGACCATGAGGTCGACATAAGGGTTTTTGACTTGGATGCTAATTAGACACATTCACAAACCTTCTAAATACCCAGAGAGCAAAAGAGGGAAAAGTGCATCCAAAGAGCAGGAAGAGAGGTTGAACAACAAGACAAAGCAACAACAACAACAACAACAACAAAAAACAACCCAAAAACAAATAACACTTCTCCAGGCAGAACTGTGATGCACAAAAGGACACACCATCTCCTCTCAAATGACCTTTTATTGCTGGGGAAGGATACAGAGTTGGCAGGCCCCTGAGCCTGTGTGCAGATATGTAACAGCAGTAGGACCGTCCTCCTCTCTGCCAAGTGGAGGCAGGGGCTCACTCTTCACCATCAATCAATAGCCACTTTTGCAGAGGAGGGCCAAGTAGAGCTTATCAATATCAAGTCCAATAGAAAACCGACAGTATGTAACATACTACTGAACACAATAAATTCATTGTTGAAATAAATCCCAGCTTACAAGTCATTTCTGATAATAATGTGTATGTAATAATGATGGAGGAAGTGAGGGAAATGAAACTGGAAAAAACTCCATTATTACTATTTATTATGTTGGTAGTGAAAACCAGGTTCTTGCACGTCTTGATGTGCTTCAGTGTGGTCAAGAAATTAACTGACAAAGAAAAATAAAGTATAAAACAGGAGCAATCTTTGTATGTTCACAATTGTAAGCATAAGAAATTTAACTTAATATAAGTTGCAGCAGTTCCTTTATGTTCCAGCTCCAGAGCATGTTATGTTCAGTAACATCGCACAGCACAGCAGTATGGGTGGTTGTATTTGGCTGTAATTTGGTGCTGTCATCTATATGTGGCAGTGATTAATGATGAAATTTTGTTGAAATGACTGAAACACAGGCATCCAAGTCCCTAGAAATATATCCCTCATTTCTAACTTTGGTGTAAGTCATTCCACTGCTCCATTAGGATTTTTTTCCATTTTGTGTGTTTGTGTGTGTGTGAGTGAGTGTGTTTGTAAGTAGATGTGTCAGAGGGCTATTACGGTCGGTTAGAGCTGCTCTTACTTGATGTCACATCTCCTATCTGCGGGCATTTTACAGTGGCCAGTTTGCCTTCAGCTCAGTAGATGCATACAATGGTGCAAAAAAACAAAAACCAAAAAAAATACACGAGTTAAACAACCACAGGCAGAAAACAAGCCTGCAGGAGCTTTTGCATCCAATAGCTGTGTGCATTAAGTCCCTGTCTATTCACTGAGCTGGCTGGCAGTCACAGCTGTGCTATTGATGTGACCATAGCCAGCTGAGTGCATTCTAGAGCACAACAATATCCCCATTAGTACCGTTATTTGTCTATTTAAAAGAAATAGTTCGACATTTTGGGAAATTTGCTTATTTGCTTTCTTGCCAGGCTTAGCTTTGGATAAGTCTGGGACATTTTTAACTACAATTATTTATTTATTCTTACACTCCAACAACCAAACAAGATGAAAATATGTTAATAGTGAGCTTCAACAGTGCTGGTACATGGCTTTTTAGCCTTTGTGCAGAGCAAGGCTAGCTGCTCTCCATTTCCAGTCTATATTTTAAGCTAAGTTAATTGACTGCAGAAATCATACTTACCATAAAGACATGAAAGTGGTATCGATCTGGTCATCGAAGAAGAAAGCTAAAAAGCCTAGTTCCCAAAACGTCTCTTAACTCTCAAAATTTAGATTTTGCTGTTTAGATGATGTGGGACGATGCTGTTCTGGTTAGTGCCAGTAATGTAGCATTAGTGAGAAGAGAGCACTTCTTCTAAGCTTTTACACAGTACATTGTACTTGATGATCCGTGTTGGAGTCGATTATGGGGGCAGAACTGATGCTTTTTGTCTCTGTGTGTCAGAGCACATGTATACATGTGCCTCTAAATATGGTCTGAGTTTGCAGTGTGGGGGTGTAAAAAGTGCAGAATATTGAATTTCAGTTCGTCCACTTAGTATATTATTGAAGCACAGCATATTTAGCTTCTATAAAGTACATCCAAGTGCTCATATGAAGCAAAAAGTGTCAATATGGCCAGTTGTTTGCCTTATGTGCATTACACAAGAATAGCAACTAAGCACATATTTATTAAGAAAGGGAGACACAGGTACTCCTTGTCATTCCATCTGTGTCACTGTGCTGACATGAATTAGAGCAACAGCTCTCCTATTTCCAGGCTGCACCCTCACCCTTGCCTGTAGCTTCACATGACCTAATCATCAGAATGTAATACATGCCCACCGTTGAGACTAACTCATATACCGTATGCATGTACTGTATATAGATATAGATGAGAGTTTACTACACAGACCTCAATAGACATGCACATTATGCAATGCATTTTGTATGTACTGAAGGAACCCATGCAAATATTACACCGAAAGCCACGAGAGCAACCAGCAACCAATGGTTCAAATGTTCAGAGGCATCTCAGCATTCTGTTTTAGTAGGCAACTTGCAGTTACAGTATGTGGGTCACTATCTCCAGTAGCTTGGTACATGCATAGTTACGTATACTGCCATAAGTCAAGACCACTCCCTGATTAATGAAAATAATATTACATTTATATGTCACAAATGTATTATCTCTGGATAAACACTAATTAAGCAAAGCAGAAAATGCATTTGACACTCAACCACCCATAACCAGCATGTCTGTACTGTATAGTATACTGTTATTATACTGTTTCTTTAGTTAAAACAATAACATTTTTGTATTTGTAGTTCATTTTGGACAAATCCCAACAAAATGCTAGTGCCAGTAAATGTGTGAAGAAAGGTTTTTTTGTAGTATTGCAGATCACTTTACAGGAAAACAACAGATTGTGCGGAGTCAGAGCACAGACTAACCTCTCTGTCTTCAACACATTTTCATCACACAAGTACAGAATAACTTTAACTTGGTTGTGGTCCTCACAACTGCATTTGGTTGTACCACTACTCCCTCACTTCTCACAACCTGGTAGTCAGTCAACAGTTGGACAGCTCAGCATTAATAAGTAAAAGTCACATAATCAGCATAAAATATGTTTTTAACACAGATATTTTGACTTTTCATATTAGAAAAAGTTTTATTTAAGTGTCCCAGTAAGCCATGACAGTGTGATAGAACCAGCATGCACAATACCAGGACCCTGAAACAGAAACAGCTAAATGGAATTCAACCATCATTTATTTGTTTATCTACACCTTTGCTTTCCCTTCTGTGACGTGTCGTAATGCCTGCTGTGAAATAGGTGTTTTACCTTGCTGACCAAGCTGCAAGATATATTACAGTAACTCAGACTTGCATACATCCAAGCTTTTGAATTCAAACACTTTCCTAATAAAACTTGTATATAAAGTATATAAAGTGACATAAAGTGAGGGAAGAACAGCTCTCCTCCCTCTCAGGTCCCTCAAAAGTTCTATTTTGTTCTTAAATCAAGTAAATCATTCTGAGACACAGTTGATTGTACAATATAACACAGGGGACGGCATATTGGAGCAGCTACCTTTAGGCCATTGACGTCCCTAGTCCAATAAGGAATCATTTTCTTTCTGCTCCTTCCTTCATTAGAAGTTCATAACAGTCAATGTCAGGGTCAGTGGAGTGTTACAGCCAGATAACTTTGAGCAAAAGTATGGAGGTAATATGGAAGTGGTCATTCTGCACTAAGTTTGTTATCTTGGACTTGAAAATAAACAAAGCAGGTTCTGATATTTACCGTTGTGAACTGAAATAATTCTGTTTTTCTGGACAGCTGACTTATTGCTGTAATTCATGAAACACCAGGTTTGGAGTAAATTCACTCAATTCAAAGTGTAAATAAAAAGTGTAATTCACTTATCAAGAAATTAGGAGCATGTTTTTTTTTTTTTTTTTAAGAATGAATCTCAGTTGATTACATCTCATAAGGCTTTTCGGTGCATGAACAGTGCATGCAGAAACAGTTAGGACACTGCACTCAAACCCATTACCCAACTAAGAGAGAATGGAGTAGAAATCAATTATCACACTCTCCTGTTTACTTGCCATCCAGCAGGGCCCACTGCCAAAACAGAACTCAGCAGTTGGCACATGTCGGCTATAAACTTCACAAATAGATCTTCAACACAAAAACCGTGACTGTTGTTTGTTTTTGGGCTAATAGATGAGGGAAGCAAACTATCAGTGCAAAACCACACATCACTGGACCAAGGATGGAGGTGCTCACATCTGCGAAAGCTCAATCACACATACAACTACATAGAACACGCTGCTGTGTAAATGCGTGCACACATTTATCCATCTTCACTGGATAAATGCATTTCATTCTATGTAGACTGACCACACCATTTTTAATTAATGTGGAGGCTGTGAAGCTGAGTCACAATTCTCCTGCTATGCTTGTTGCCATCATGGAGGTCCACTGGGGAATTCTGTGTGCAAACAATGCTGACCCTATAAGTAGGGTCTAGATTGTCATATTACTGAGCAGCAAGTGTATCTATCTAATTTGTAACATTATTACAAACAAAATCATATTGTATGATGTGTGTGTATGTTTTTCCAGATAACCAAAATTATTCTGATTTATTTTTTAAAAAGCCTTGGATTACTGATTTTTTTACTTGGTCTTGTCTCTGCATCTCTAAATATAGTAAAATACCTTAAAAAGTAACAGTGGTTGCTACTAAATATAGTAGGTAATGCTCAAATTAAGTGCATTATGCAAAGTGTCAAGGTAAAAAACAAGCAGTTCACACCAGCTAAAACTGGCTGATGGTCTGAGCCAGACTGATGAATTACTGCTGGACTAAGATCATCATTAAAGAAGAGTTTGACATTTTGGGGGAAAACTCTTAATCACTTTCAGAGTCAGATGATAAGACTGACACCACTCTAACATTGTTTAACATATAGCTACAGCCAGCAGCCAGTAAGCTTAGCATAAAGACTGGAAACACATTTCTTAGTTGGGAGCAGTTTCCAGGTAACAGGGAGATACTGTTGTTGCTGATCCTGGCCAAGAAAACAAATGAGATACAACATGTTAATTAATTAGCTTTAGAGATGCTGCTGGGTGCATTTTGTTAACTCTCAACAGAGCCACACTACATAAGCTAACTGTCTCTGGCTGTAGCTTCATTACAATTGGTTATGAGAGTGTGATCAACCTTCTCAACTAACTTGAAAGCAAATAAGCACAGTTCCCAAAATCTGAAACTGTTTTTTAAGATGGTAAATGTGACCATTGATAACTACTATCACACAAGCCAATATTAGCACATGCTCATATTATACTGATTGTCGGTATAATATGTGCATGTGCAATATTTGTGTTTATTACAAAGTAATAAACCAAACTGCAAAGTCATACATTTTGATAGATAAACAGTAATAACCAAGGTCTTGGGACCTCCACAATGGCAGCCAGAGTGCACATTAGGTCACCTGGAAGCACACTACAATTAAGAAGAATTACATTCTTCATCTCTGTTGAATCCTGTCTTTTCTCTTTCAGAGCTGAGCCTGTTAAACAGACTCAGTTTGACTGCAGCGTCATTAGACTTCACAGACAGTCCTGGAAGTTGACAGGAGGCACTGTGGGAATCCATTGCGGCAGAGTGGGATTAAATCTTTTAAACAGTATGTGACGTTTTTAAATTCCCGTTGCCATGGTCACTCCTGCTTCGCAAGGTACGACCCGTCTCGCTGGTTTCTTCCTCAGTGTCCACATCCAGCTGTTCATCTTTCTTCTTGATGTAGCGCTCATAGAGCACCATAATGACTCCCATCACCCAGGCTGACACGGTTCCGGCAGCAAAGATGACAAAGCCGATGACAACAAAGAAAAGGTAGTCCCAGGAGCCCAGAGTCTGGTGACATAACGTCCGTAGCTGGATGCCCACCTCACCCAGACGACGGCCCTGCATGTCAGCAGGTGAGCCACACACCGTCTGGCCCTCATCTGTCACACAGACACACAGGGATGATGAGAATTAATCATTGGATAATGGAAAACAAGACATCAATATATTTGGTAACAACATATTTGGTTAGGAAATATAATGTAAATTGTAACACCGAAGTGCTTTTATATAAAAATTCCAGGGTGGTGTTATTCTAACAAACAACCTACAATAAACAGGTCAGCTGTCCTGAAGTGGAATTATTCAGACTATTGAGTCATCTTGTTTAGGAGGAATTTCTTGAAATCAATTCAGTTTATTTTTAATACAAGTAATTGTACCTTAAAGGCACAGTGTGTAACATTTAGGAGAATCTATTGGCAGAAAGGGAATATAATATTCATGGGTATGTTTTCATTAGTGTATAATCACCTGGAAATAAGAATTGTGTTTTTGTTACCTTGGAATGAGCCGTTTTTATCTACAAAGAGAGTGGGTCCACCCTAAACACTGGCTCTAGATGGGGTTTTGTGTTTTCCGTGAGTTCAGTTGCCACTGTAGTTTCTACACGCTGTATTCAAATGGTTGCGATCTACAACTTCACCACTAGATGGCGCTGAATCCAACACACCGCTGATTTAACAGTAGCAAGTAAAACTACATTAGGTCTTTGTCTATGAAATATTGCTTTTGTTTTTATTAAAGCAGGATAACCACATGCATACATAATTACTTTAAAAAAAACCCTGAAAAGTTGGTTTATAATCTTAATTGTTTTTCTATTATATTAAATATTCATGAGTATATAAGCAACAATCAAAGTTTGGAATCAGATCTCCTAACTTATTGTTTACTTAGAGTTTAATAATCAAAAACTCAGCTAACTTGCTTCATCCGGTCTTTAATCGAATGATGGCAACATAAAACCCCACACCTGACATCATATTATAATTACAATGCTGACGAAGCCTGATTGGTGCACAGAGATGCAGGACATCCCCTTGTGCCAACTGCGCCCTGCTCACCTCAAACCAGTGAGAAAAGCAAGGACAAAAACACAAATACAGATTCTTTCATGTACAAATACTCAAACGGTTTTAACTTTGGAACAATGTGTGCATGTAGGAATCACTCAGAGAAAGAGGCTGATTGACAAAATATATTTTCAGGGCCTTTAAAGTGCATTTCTCTGCTGATCTCCTTTGCAAATCTCAAGTAACTTTGCTTACACACAGCAAACGTATACAGCCTTGGCATATAATAATCATATGATTTACAGGATCCTTTGATGTTGTGAAATGCACAAATAGCTTAGCAAGGGAAATATTATACATAGCGCATTAAACTGTGAGTCTGTTAAATAATTCAAGCATATTTATATTGTTTTGCATAACATTTGTAAATGGCAGCAAACTGAGCTGAAGATATCTCTAACATATTCAGGATCACACAGCTAACAGATTAAAATGCAGAAAACTGCACCAGCAGGACGTTGTTGCCTTCTTTATCAAAAAATGGCAAGGCTTCAGGAGCTTCCCGTGTTTTTGAGTTGATGCAGCACTAAATTACAGGAAAAAAATCTTGGATGAATTATTCAAACTGCTTTCTCCCCCACAGTATTAGAGAGTGACTTAGGCCTTTGTGTCTGCCTGGAACCACAGATAATAAGGTTTCTCATCATCAGGCACTGGTTATGACTACAACTAAGTCCTTGCTGAAATCCACAAATCCTAATGAAAACACTGAGTTCCTCCTCTTTCACAAAACTACAGTAGATGGATACAATTTTAAAAGGCCTATCAGTCAAAATTAAATACACCACATGATGCCTGTCAAGAGAAGCATTTTCTTCAGAATATAATCCTGAAGCCTGGCTGAGTCTTTTGTTACTGTGAGCAGAAATGCAGCACAACACAACAGAGTGTTGCCATCTCCATACGGCCACTGTTTTTAATTGGCTTCTGTTTTTTTCAAAGCTTTTGTGCTGGGGGGATTTCCCACTGGGAGAGATCAAAAGACTTGGAAGTTTCTGCACAGGGAACCATTTTCTGTAATCTTATTTCTACACTGACAGTCTTACAAAAGAGCAGTCCCATTTTGCTGGCATATATTGCAATGAGAACTTATTGTAAAGAGAACTCTGTATGGAGATGTGCTGCTCTGTGACTCTGCAAGATATTTTCGGGAAAGGACAATAACAGAATAATTGTATGATAATTGTATTAAAGTCTTACATGAATAATTCATTATTGTAATCGTGTTTTAGATACACTTACACTCTAAGTGTTTGATGTTAATGGTGTAGAATTGAATTAAGTTTCAGTGACCTTTGTTTCATGCATTGACTGCAGAGGGACTCCTATTGCACAAAAAACATCCTTTAGGTCAGTGGTTGCCAAACTTTTCATCTGAGTGGCCCTTCATTGACCACCCGACATGTTCCAGATGTGTTCATTTTAATTTATTTCAAAGTAATAAGTAACGCAACAAAAAGTTTATATTGTTATTATGTATTTTCTAATACATCTGTGTTGTGAATGCTTTGGTTTGGTCGAGTGTGCATGTCTAGTAGCAGTGTTTATGACTACTTTTTGCTAAATACTTTTTTTATTTTATGTATCATTTTAGCAAGCACCTGTTTTCCATTAGTTTCAGCTATCATTTCATCTATATATCCACTACTTTTAATGAACTATATAAACTCTTTATCCATTACTTTAAGCTAATTCTTTCAATTGTTTATCCATTAGGCTACTTTTGCTAAATTAATTATTTTAACATTTATGTATTACTTTTAGCTAACTTACCTGTGTATTCATTTCAGCTAAATATTTCAACTGTTTCACGTCTTTCCCTTTTAGCTTGTCTGTCCAATAAATGTAGGTAGTTATATCATCTGTTTATTCATTCATTACTACATAATCATTTAGCTAACTATTTCAAGTTCTCTGCTAACTTGCCAACCACTTTTCATGCACTCTCAGTAGCAACATGAGGTGTTGGTGTTATAACTGACTCAGGTTGGTGGGAGGTGTGATTTGACAGAGGATGAGAGCGATCATACAGAAGCTTTCAATCATATCACATGACAAGTTAATTTCATAGGATGACTGAAACGTACGGCTTCCTAATATTTTATTCACTCAGTGCATAAATCCCCGTTCTTATCCTCAGAGAAGCTCTTCTGTGGCTCACAGATCTGAAAATAAGCGTGCAGCTGAAGAACGCGAGGACACTCAGCTTCTCTAAGCTCTATCCACCACCGAGAATTCAAAAGCATATTTTGATCCTCTCAAAGGCTGCTGCTGAGTACTGTTCACACAATATGCTGCTAGACTGTGGCTACAACTAACGCACCCATCTGTACATGCATACTCCCAACATAGACTATATAGGCTACATGCACAGACCTCCTCCACGAGACATAACTTTCCCATCTTCTATCTCTGTCCTTGCAGCATCTGCTAGAGTGTATGCGCACGTGTTTGTATCCGTGTGTGTGTGTGTGTGTGTGTGTGTATGTGTGCCTGTCAGCTATGAAGGAAACCCTTCTGGCTTCACCCCTTACTCCCTCCCCCTAAAGGGACTGGCATCAAAGAAGAGGGCTTTCCCTCCCTCCTTCCCCCATCCACACTCTGCTCTATTTCTAGACGCTCTCCTTATATAACAGCTGAAAGAGTGTTAATCTAGCCAGGAAGGCGAGACAGAGGGGAATCTGTTGGTTCCTTCCTGATGCTTTCTCTCCCTCACGCTCACTCACCCGCGTGCTATTGATGCGTCTCCTAAACCAAGGAGACAAGCGAGCCATGTTGCGTGAACCAGGTGAGACCCAGACGAGAGATAACAAGGAGACAGAGCTTGCAGCTGAAACACAGTCGTCTCCAAAGTGTTATCCTTCTGCCACCCCCCCTCAAGCACTAAAAGTGTGCTTTGTCGGTGTTTGTGTGCCTAAATGCATGAATGTGAAGGTGAATTTGTATGCGTGTGACTTTCCACATGCTTTAGAGGAGAGACTGTGGTACTGCCTGTGCTGCCTGCTTGGAAGAGATGGACAGACTGTGTGTATGCATAACAGAGGTACAGAATGTGTGTGTATCTATGTGTCCGCCTTCTCCCTTGCTGGCAGCTGTCACTAGAAGAGGCTCCACTCCAAATTAAGCTAGACAAAAGGCAATGAGCAGCAGGAAAATAGGACAGCTCTTGCAGGACTCATTTGGATTCGGCCTAAGCTGCACAGGGACCATAGTGAACTATAGTGTGTGTGTGTGTGTGTGTGTGTGTGTGTGTGTGTGTGTGTGTGTGGGAGAGTGAGCAGGGGATGCCTTTTTAGTAAGCGTGGCGGGCGTATTATAGCTATGGTGTTAGAATTATGACTGGCTTCTTGCTCAGTAAGACACACTATAAATAGCTGCTGCCCTTTTGCATAGTGACACATCCACACCAAAGCATAAGCATAATAACTCAAAGTAAGACAGATTGTGGAATATCAGACACATCTATCAGCTCGACAGTAATAAAACAAAGGGGGGGATCAATATTTGATGGTGCAACTATGATCCATTAATCACATTTGCAGCACAGAATCCCAGTAGCTAGATAAAATAGAGATTGATTAGTCATTTCGACATAGAATACCCGCATGTTTTCCTCCCAAATTGCAGAACACAGAGCTACATTAATGAACACAGTTGCGAGAGAAGAAATCAAATGGCTCCCTGCCTCCGATCTTCTTTCACCCTCTTTGTTATTTGAAAGTCTGAGTGCTGTCACGCTCCACTACCATCACCTGTGTCTCATCCCACTGAAAGCTGAGAAAGAGGTGAACTTTGCAGACTCTGCCATGGTTACATATGGAGTGCATACAACTACATATCTTGCAAGACACACACACACTACAATTCACGGGATAGAACTGTGGGAGATGATGGCGTGGTATTATCTGTTGTGTGTGTTGACGTGTCTCTATTATGTTTAATTGGTAATAAAGCACAATTTATTAGGAGTTTATAGTTCACAGTATTTTATAAATCAGTAACAACAATTTTAGGGTTGTGAAAAATCACTCTGGCAGATGTTTGGTCACGCTGCCTGGAGGAGGATAAAGACCATTAGGCAAACTGCCCTGGGCTGCCGAAAGCGCCAGTCTTATAGTGTCAACTGTTCATTTGTATTTGGGAATATGCAGCACTAAAACACAATATCAAGTGACAAGATGAGGCCCTTAAGGTGGGTCCTGCTTTATTTTGTAATCTTAAGACCCGTGTGGAAGAGGCTCCCTGTGTTAAAATATGATTTTATGATCCCAGTTTTGCTGAAAATAAAGTGTTTAATCAATCAAATCATCACACAGGCATACACATTCCACGGGGTCTATAGTTCATTTCTGACTTGTGGCTCTCAACAGGATTTTTCACAACCTGGTAACCCAAAAGTTGGTTTTACCAATGGCCTTTAATTGCTATAACATTTAACACATAACACACATTTAATAGTTACAACATATAAACCCTTTATAAAGAGTATCATAAAGTGGTTGCATTTAGTTATTTTCTGTTTTAAGTGTCTGCTTTTCTTTCTGAACTATTTCTAAAATGTTCTCTATTAATATAAAACACTTACAGCTGCATTTGCTGTATGAAATTGGTTAGATAAATATCTTCATGGGATGCAGGTCGTTTATTGAGGGCAGCCACCAGCAAAAGGCCAATAGTTTACATAACCGGGCATTATTTAATAATGAATAACTGGAGCACAGCAGTCCTTATATGTGATTGGGGCCTATCCACTTGATACTATAAGGGTAAAGCAACAATAAAGGTCATGTTGTGATTATGTCAGCTTATATGGCATTAGAATAAAAGAGAATAGATGATTGATAAAACCTTGGAACTTGAAGCCTTCGAGGTGGACCCACAGGCACAGGTCCTCGTTGTCGCACTCGCAGCTCCACGGGTTCCCGCTGAGCCCCACCGAGCGCAGGGAGGGCAGCGCGATCAGGGAGGTGATGTTGAGGACCGTCAGGTTGTTCCGACTCACATCCAGCACCTGGAGGGCCGCGTTTTCCGCAAAGGCGTCCGGGTGAATCTCCGAGAGCCCCGGGTTGTCAGTCATCCTCAGCATCACCAGGCTCGCCAATGGGCCGAACGTCCTGTCCTCGATCCGGCTCAAGGTGTTGAAGGAGAGGTCCAGGTAGGCCAGCTTCCGTAGATTTCCAAACGTGGACTCTGATATCTCGGTCAGGGAGTTGTTGCTGCAGTCCAAGTACACCAGATCGGAGAGGTAGTTGAGCGCGAGCGGTGGCAGCTCCACGATGCGGTTGTTGGAGATGATGAGCTGCCGCGTGGCCAGCGGCAAGTTGACCGGGAAGGTGGTCAGGTGCTGCCCAGCGCATTGAACCACCAGCTGGTCATCGCACACGCACCTGTCCGGGCAGCCCGAAGAGAGCACCGGGGATGGGTTCACCCCCGTGGTGAGGAGGAGCAGAACTATGAGCCGCAAGGGTTGCGCGCTTGGCTGCGGGGCAAGACGCATGACACCGCCGAGGGCTTCATCCACCCCGTTTGGAGAGAGTCAGCCACACTCACATTCTTCATTGATACATCCTCGAGTTTGTCCCAGAAATTAGTTCCACAGAGGTCAAACCTAAAGCTCGCCCGTGGCAACCTCTTGCGCGTAATGTCTCAGTTCATCCTGTTGGTTCTGGATCCAGCGTGCATCCACTGTCTGGAACTTGACAACCAGATGCCTTCATGCTGTTTCAAATGTCATTGATTCTTCGGGTTTCTTCCATCACAACACATCTATTCACACGCTGTAAACGTCCACAACGTCCTCTCATGCTGCGCTGCTTGCAATGTTCACGGTCAGTTGTTCCACAACATGTTTGCCATCGTCTCGCTTTCCGAAACTGAATCCAAATGAGGGGGGCGCACTCAAGTGCGCGGCGGGTGGGGGTGGGGGGTGCGTTGTGGAGTGATCTCACGCTTTGGAGTGAGCTGGAGCGAGGGGGGAAGCTCTGGACAGCGGAGGTAATGGAAATAGAATTCCTTTGTATAGAAGTAAAATTGTATATGGAAGCGTAATCCATGCATAGTTGTGGGACTTATAGTAAAGGAAGGTGACATGCAATGGTCAAGCTGCAGGCACAGTGATCACCATCTACACATGCCTCAGGGTGTGTGTGTGTGTGTGTGTGTGTGTGTGTGTGTGTGCGTGCGTGCGTGCGTGTGTGTGTGTGCGTGTGTGTGTGTGGAGGTGGAACAAAAATCCTGTGCACCTGACACCTGGGAAGTACATTGTGATCAGATCACATGGGCTTTGGAAACAAGAGAGTGGGGCAACAATGATGTGTTGAGAGAGGGAGATCCATATCAGACTATCTACACCACTCAGACCTATATGCACTACGAGGGTTTTACAGTAATGACTGACATATCAGCCATAGGCAACGAACACCCCAATTCAAACTGTACCCAGTATACAGCTATGATGGGACGAGATGAGATGGGACAAGGTGGTCTCAGGCAGCAGTTGTTTTTCTCCTCTCTCCGGTCTCAGTATGAGTCCTGAGTCTATTCTTGGTTCTCTGTGTAGGTGTTGAAGTGCTGAATCAGACTCAGCATGATGGAGGAGGAGGAGGACAGATGTGCTGCTGACAGTCCGTGAAAGAAACCACCCTGAGTCGACAGTCAACAAGCTGCTGACCACGCTCACTTTTTCTTTCACACACACATCCAAAAAAATCAAGTTTATCCTTTTTTTCTGTATGTATTCCCAGCAGTCAAAAAAAGAGAGCAGGAGGACTATAATCATCTATAACCTAATGCTTTTTCACACTTGCCATCCTGTGGACTGAACTAATCCACACAGCTGTTTTGTGGCATGGTATTCAGTGACTTTATGAGGACATCTAGTGACGAATACTTGGTAATGTTTCTCACAGTTAGCCGCTGCCATGCAACAATCTTCTTATATTCTTTTCTGATGCATGGTTTGCAGCTCGGTAATTGCCCAAGTCCCATGCTTACAGTCTTTAACCTCAGAAAAAGCAGTGGCCCACTCATAACTCACTGAGTCTTATCTGAATATTTCTCTAACACAATATAGCTTCACTCAGGAGTTGGAACAATATGGAAACTGTATAAACTGTACAGGTAAAACTAGTTCTCCAGGAAGCCATAACCTCTGGCATATCTCCATCTAAACTCTCATAACATCCTCTGTTTTTCTCCTGGTGGTCACAGGAATGATTCAGTATTACTATTTGATTGCCCTCATTGACACACCTCAACATTTTCTGCACTGTCATTCTACATTAGCATGACAGATATATTGTGAAATGTGAAGGACGAGCTCCGTATAAGGCATTCTGTCAAACAAGGGTGTAAATATATTTGTTTTTGGAATCCCTTGGCTTACAGCAAGTCACGTTTTACCGTATTTGCAAGGACTTGTCTCCCATATTTATCTCCATGGATAATTTACATTGTAAAACCTGTTTTGGTCACAACCACACACCCTGGATGTAGTAGATCAACCAACATGATCTACATCCAAAGTGTGTTGCCATACTTTAGGTTGTAACAAGGAGATAAAAAACATCACTATGATTTAACAATATATTTTATAATATCTGAAATGATTATGAGTTCAGTCCTTGTCAGTAGTGCATTCAGTGAGCCTGCGTCTGCTCACACAATTAACAGCAGTAACTCAACTTGACCTGATATGCGATACAGGAAACTCTGGCCTGCCAGGTCCCTGGTCACCTCAATAGAGGGCAGATTTTTTGGCTGCCTTCCATTAACAGGATCAGGGCCCTGTCACGTGAACCGGCTCACTGTCACGGCTCACTGGGGCACTTCAAAAGGACGGAGCCGTCATTAATTCTATTACTTCTTGCACCTGTGCTTTTCCTGCCAAATCAAAATGCCAGCCATAAAAATTGTTGTAAGCACAGTAAAAGTTGACAGTGACTGTCAGATAAATGGATGCCGTGTCAAATGAATCAATCAGTCACACATGTTCCCTGGTTGTTGGACTCTTAGACCCATTGTTTTACATCTGCAATACCTGATAATAAATAACCACAGTGAACAATCAACTCTGTGCAAATATTCAAGCACCTTATGTAAGAAATCAGAGAGGAGGTGGCCACCCATATATGCAATCAACTCGGAGCTAAGCCAAATCCAATCTTTCTTTCTTGCAACCTGTTTTATGACTTTTTTTTTTTTTTAAACCAGACGAGATAATACTATTAATGAACAAAAACGGAAAGAATAGAGATAGCCCAAGAAATAAATTACAATTTAATAGAAGCAATCTTCTTCTTTGCAAGTGAGTCCTGCATTAAAAATCTCACTTAAGTAAATTAAGGACAAACTAGTATTGTTATTACTTGCATTGTACTACTCCCCATACTGTAAGTGTGGGCTTTTGGGCTGTATACTAAATAATGGATTATTACTACTGATGCATTAATGTATACGTTGCTGGTTGAGGTGTTTTCTTACAACTATTTTATATAGTGTTGGGTAGTTTAAATCTATATTAATGCATTATAGTTTATAAAGTAATCATATATTTTGTATGTAAAACTTTGTCTATAAAGTAACTAGCAGTAGAAGTAGTATAATAAATGGAACTGGAAGCACTTGGACTGAAACAAAGCAGACAACCTCAAATTTGTTAGTTACATCCAGCCTCTGCTAAGCACCCTGGCTGTGGGAGTTCCCTGTTTTGACTGGTTACCATGGTAACGTGCGTGTACCTGCGGTCTACTGCGCATGTCAAGTGGAACTGATTCTTTTGAGGAGACGTCGCTGTGGAGCAGTCAGTGTGTCGGTAGGAGTAACTTCATTGATAAGTGAAACCGGACGTTCACGTGACATTTAGCACATATTAGCTATAATTTGGGACAGACAGGCTGTGTAGTACAAACGGCCGCCACGCCCTCGCTGTGTGTTTGTGTTACGTGCGTTACGTAAGCCTCTACGCACAGGGACGCATTCGAGTAGGAAAGTTCAGAGCAGTCGGTTTGTGTCTGTGTCTGAGTGTTACAGCTGTCTGCCTCGTACTCTGCGTCGTTGAGGTACAGTAAACGCTAATATCTTTGAACGAGTTGTGTAAATGTGTATGTTTCCTCTCACACTGGTTGGTCGAACATTAGTGACGCCGCTGGTATCCTTATTTTGACCTTGTGTGTTTATGGCGTCCTTGCTCTCCGCTGTTAGTTAACAGACTGTTTTATTCCCGTGTGACAGATTTATAAATCATTGGGGGATAAACACACATGTACCCGATGCAAATGCAATCTTATGAATGTAAAAATAGCATTTTATGTTATTTTATTTTCTCCCGGAAAATAACTCCTCCCTTTTCTTACCTTAACAGAAAGGAATAAAGCGAAGTTAAAGTAAAAAGAAAAGAAAAGAGTTGCTACTTTCATATTTAGTCAAAAGCTGCAATGATAGAAGAGTAGGCTATAGTTTATTAGCTTTTAAGTGCACTTTTTATTTGGAATAACCAAAACTTATTCGGCCACATTATTTTTCCTCTTTCCTCCAGTTTGTCAAGATGGTCGCGCTTTCCAAAGAGTATGGATTTGTGGTGTTAACTGGCACTGCCAGCATCTTGATGGTTGCACATCTGGCTGTTAAAGTTGGCAAAGCCCGCAAGAAGTACAACGTGCAGGTGAGCCAGTACCTTTGTGCCTCTATGCCTTGGAGATGAGTCAGCAAAAAGGCACAAACTATCGTTTTGGACCATCATCATTCTTTACATGTTGATTTCCAGGTGCTTCCGTGAGGGCGATGGTTTAGTCTTCCCCAAAGGTTGCACTAATAGATACAGATTGTCCTGATCTGCCATTGGTTTTTTAAACAAACTACAACCCTGGATGTTATCAAGTCTTTTTCATGGTGACAATGTAGTGATCTGATGTATTAATGTATTTCAGTTGGATTATTGTCTATAAAGTAAGTTGGCCCTCGAGGTGTTTTATTCTACTTGACTTTAATCTGATGTATGTCTTCAAATATAGAGCAGAACAAAGTCCACGCTTTCTAATTAAAGCTGTTTACAATCTGCTGCCACCCATTCAAACACCAGCACAGCAGGTTTGTTTACATAGTTTCATGCGTGAGTACTGACCCTTTTTGTGCCTTTTGTAAAGCACTTGGAATTGCCTGAACTTGCCTTTCCTTGCAGTACCCTCAGATGTACAGTGACGACCCAGAAACTGGAAACATCTTTAACTGCATCCAGCGTGCACACCAAAACACGTACGTATGAGCTCAGATATCGGTAGTACAACTTCACTTTGCACATACACTGTTTGATATTGCACCACGCTTTTTATGATTCATAGTAACTATGGAAAAAGGGGTGAAAGGTAAAATGCTGTTATCTGCTCTCACCAGCCTGGAAGCCTACCCCGCCTTTCTTTTCTGCCTTGCTGTTGGCGGTTTACATTGTCCTGTAAGTCATACCACTGTGGCACCAACATACTGCCTCCAAAATAAGATGTTACATACGGTATCTTTAGCATCTAAAGCACAACATATGAGTAAGAAATGTATAGTCTTCATATAAAATCCTTTCTTACCTTTGCTTGTATGTGTTTGTGTGGCTATCACAGCGCCTCATCAGTGGACTTGGAGTTGTATGGATTATAAGCAGAGAGGTGTACGCACATGGTTATTCCACAGGAGGTAAGATAATTGTTAATATTCCATGTTTCATTTACATTTTCTGCTTTTGTAAGGTAAATCTGGGTGTGATGGTGATATTGTTATTACTATTCATCAGATCCTAAAAAAAGAATGCGGGGAGCGTTCGGGAACCTGGCTATTCTCGGGATGATTCTGACCACAGCCAGTTACGGCCGCCACCTGCTTGGCTGGACAGGGCCACGGATGGGCCCCTTTCGTCAGGTTAACTGTCATTGAGGATGAAGTCTTCAGGATGGGTTCACCCAGTGATTCACCTTTATAATCAAAGCCACTCTACATAACCCATATAACCTGCAACATGTCTGCTAACCTCTGATCAATGTAACACTTGAAGTTAGGTGAAATCGTCAAGTGACCTGACCAGTTTTCCTGGAAGGGAATGCCTCATTTAGGATCATAGATGTTATGTTATCACTGATGGGCACTCCCGGAACATGCAAGACCTGTCAGTTTGTTTTCAGCTGCGCCCTGAAATATTTGTCACTTGACTTTTCATATTAAATGTATTTTTGCAATAAACAAATGCTGTAATAAAAGGTGAGTTTTCAGAAGGACTTTTGCCATGCATGTTAGATGTTTAGAATATCGTCTTATGTTTGCATTTGCTTAGCTGAAAGAGTCAGATTTTGTATATGAATGAATACCTGAAAACGATTCGTCAAAAATATTCCTCTTGTTGAGTAAAAAACAAATTCCTGTCATGATGACGATACATTTTTTTTTTTTTAGATGTGTCACATACTGAAAACAGGGTTTTGACATTTGTTGTGCTGGTATTAAATATTATACATTGGTTATAAACTATCTAGTGTTTTTATTGAGGTGAATGGGCATCGATTGAATGTGAGTTTACATAGGTGTGTGTTTGAGGGAGCGGCTTTCTGTTTTTGAAAGCTGAGTATTTGTTTAAAGTCCACATTGCTTGTACAGGCAGGTGGACACTTATCACTGCTGAGCTGTTGGGCTCACAACTAACTGTGAAAGAAAATGCCCTTTGTACAATGACACAGCACAATTATTTACACCCCACCCACATACTATACCTAAGCCATAAACTTCAACAAGGTCCCACCCTCTAGACACATACCACTTCAGTCTTATAGTACTGGGGTTTCTGTTTTATTATCAAACAGGAAATCCTTATATCAACAAATTCTTACAGTCACACATTTCAAAGGCAAATTATCATACATCACTGTCGGCACTTAACGTCAAAGTAACTCAGAACACACTAGGTAAAAATGTAGTTCCAGCACATTTGCATGATACTGCAGCTAATACAGATACAGGTAACGACAATCTAAACATGAAAACTCCGTGGTGCCTCTTCTCGCTGTCTCCACTTTAAGCATCTGAATGAACACCTTGTGCAGAAACAAATACATATCTTTATAAATAGGAATTTTACAACACATTTAACAATACTAGTGTATTTTACCGTTACAATTTACTCATATAGAAGTGTTTATTTAGTGTAGCAAGGTCTCCTCTCAGTGTGCACTGGTGGATTAAATATCAAATCATTAAAAACAGAAAAACCAAATTCAAGTTTTATATGCCAACACGTGTAACTACACAGTAATAGGCTGTAACAATAAATATTTACCACATACAATTTGGGGTAACTTGGTTAATAAATTTGAACAACTGAATAATGAGCGGCTTCTACTGTAAGATAATTGGTGGGTCTGTTTTTCCAATGATATGGCTTTTGAATTGTAAAATCACTTGCTTTAAATTGTGTGTGGATTTTCTGCAACACCTCAGTTTTAAGACAACACGTGCAACCTGGCAATTTGGTTTCAAAGTGCACTTCACTAATATTTGGTCATCTAAGGCAGTGGTTCTCAACTTGGGGTCCTTGAATGGGTTCTAGTGCTTCCCCAGAGAAATGGGGACTATTTTAAATTTCAATATTATTTCATATTTCACAGTCTACAGTATAGAAAGTTATGGAATAACTATATCTTATCTGACAGGGATCCCTGAGACTACATCTTATCAAATACAGGTCCACGGCCTGATGTATATCAATCTGGGGGTTTGTGACACCAAAAAGGTTGAGAACCACTGATGTAAGGGATTATAATTTATATTCCTTAATCACTTTAGGCATGTTGACAACTTTCCCATGTGTCTTAAAGCACATAATATTCTCATTTTATATTTATACCTCACTCTCATATTTCTCGCTGGATAACCTGAGGTTGTGTAATAATTACACTGGAGGACTTCATGGAACCTTGATCCACATTACCTCACATGTCCCCTAGGGGGCACTGGGACCATTCATGCCACTGTAAAGTGCTGTGCATACATGAGGAGTTAGTCAGGGGTGCAGAGGTGCTTTAACTCGCCTCAGGAGAGAAATAAAAGAAAAACTTTCCACCAGACTGAAGATCTCCGGAGATTTAAAGGGAATGTGGAAAAAAGTAGCTCTGAAACCTCCCACTTATGAATCTTTCTCGTGGAACCTCAGATAAACATTTTTATCACTGACCCAGAACTCTCAAGGGGGAACTCATCTGCAGAGATTCATCTGCATCCAGGCAAAAGCTTATCTCAGATTCACACTGGTCTTCCTTTGGTGTCTACTTTGTGTCTGTTCTCTGTTAGTGGAAATGACTGACAGGATGCTTCCATCAGTAGCTGTATCTGGAGAGTGGCGTGTCCTCCATCAAATCATCCTGGATTTAAACAAGATAAAATGTATTCAGAGTAGAACAGTTGTTACGGATGAATAACTTAAACAAACGAGACCTTCCACAACTGCAGGTCGGATTATCTGGGAAAATCCCAAAGATGCGACATTTATATACGCTCCTGAGTACCTTCTCTCTCTCCTTCACTACAGTGTCAAAAAGTGTGCAACACTAGCTAATGTTAGCTTTGAAACAGAGCTAACGTCTACAAATGACCGACAACCGCCACAACACAAAGTCCAGTGAGAGGTAAGATTACTGCAAATCTTGTGAATTCTTTTGTGATATTGTGGTTTTAGCTGGCTAACCTTAGCTAGCTTGCAAATGTGGACAAAAAAAACGGGTGTCAAAAAGTCAAGCTCCAAAACCACTGCGTCCTACATTTCCCATAATGCAACAAGATAGTTTTTTTCCTTAGTCCCTCCCTGCCTGGTAAACCTCCACTTGTTTCAGAACACAGATTTCTGTTAAAAACCTACAAACATTATTGTGTTATAGTGTTCACAGTGTAAGGAGTTGTGCTCCCCAGAAAACTGAAATAAATAAAATAAAAATTCTAAATAATTAATAATAATTGGTGCCCCTTTAATTACTTAAACAAAATCAGGCAGGGTGTCTTAGTCTAGCTGTATTGTACTACATGCATGCACAGAAAAGAGCATCTTACCATGGGTAGATCCTGCAGCCGATGGAACTCTGGGTGGTTTGTCCGCTGGCGGAACTTCAGGAAGAGGATGACGAAGACGACAGCGGTGGTGACAATGAATACGGACAGCAGACCAGCTAGCAGGGGGTCCAGAGGGGAGCTGGAATGGTAGCGTGGCCCCTTGAGGTCTAAATGACACAAAAACAGACAAACGTAATAAAACATTTTAAGACAGCAGGCGTAAAACAATACTGTCTCACCTGTCCATCACATTACCTTCATCTCCAACATTAAGCTCAGATGGGACCTCCTGGTGCGTTGGCCCTGCAGGATCCCGGCCTAGAGCTGAGGTCAGAGGGTGCCCTGTGGTTGTTGGCCGTGCAGTGGCTGTGGTCAGTGATTCAGACTGCGGACGGATGGTGGAGGCGTAGGCTATGGGGCTTGTATCCTGCACCGAGTGGGCTGGCAGAGATGAAAAGGTGGTGAGGGGGTCTGTGGTCAGAAGGGCTCTGCCTTCAGTGGTTGAGATGTGTTGTGGGGGGGTGGTACTCTGTACAGTCGGTGTGGATGAAAGGCCATCTGCAGCAGCTGAAAGTGAGGGCAGTGCTGTATCAATTCCAAATAGTACAGAGAACCCTTCAAAGGAAACAAACCATACACACAGCAGCCTGAGGTAACTCTACACCACCCTGCTCCCTCTGACATTAAAGCTGCTATTTGTGTGTATTTTATATTGTCAGGTCCCACTTATCCTGTTTGACAATGCCAAGAAACCCTGTTTACAACAGAGAAAGCACAGTGCAATGACCCGTCACACAGTGTTCGTATTTTTATGGATCAAATGAAAAATTATCATTCCCTTCACTAATTGTGGATCGAAAAATAATCGCAATATGATGTTTTTATGTTATAGTGCCACCCTAACACAAGTGTCATTTTGGTTTTGCTGCTGGAGAGGCGACAATGTGCCAAACTCTCAACTTTAAGTCACAGAACTAACATATACTGTACATTGAAGGACTGTGATTGATTAAACATTAGAACTCTGCAGAAAGTTCATCGGCAACAATATTGATATAAGATTAAAGCAGACTTTCAATTTACTAGTTCTAGCTTTTCAAATTTGAGTATTTTCTAGTTTTATTACTATTTTAGGTCAGTAAACTAAATATCTTTGGGGTTTTGGACTGTTGTTTCAACAAAACGCTGAGAACCTGACACTTTAAAGACTAACAGATCATTGTATAATCGAGAAAATGACTAGTAGATTAATCAATAATGAAAATAGTTGTTAGTTGCAGCCCTAGTGAGCAGAGTTAACTTGTTGTAGGACTGTTGTATTGCAGTTTCCTTTTTTGTGATGTTTTTATTTTCTCTGTGAAAGTACTGAATATACAAGATGAACACAGCAGGTGTACTTCATTTTCCCTCTTTCAACATTAGTATATATTCTTATTCCACTATGAGCACATGTGTCTGTTTATATCATGTTTGACAAATAATGCTGACGGCCTGGGAGCCGGCTGGGAGAGGGGTGTGTTCAAGGAAATTACAAGTCAGACCACCTGCCTACTGTTTACATATATGGACTGAAGAGACAGACAGTCATTAGTGCTCCTGTCAGCAATGTCAAAGTATTGTATACTGAGAGGCAAAGAGCATAAAAGTATTGCCTCATTATGATGCCTGGCATTGTTTGAAAGACATCCTTGTGCATATTGTTCAGTAAGTTGCAAAGCAAATCAAAGTAAGTAGCGATACAATTTTTAGCCTTTGAACTGAGAAATTCCAGCGGCAGCTTTTGCCAAGTGACAACCTCCACATTATTCTACAGGGACACACAGATAAGTGACAACAACAGCTAAAAAAAGGGGACAAGAGTGTGATCTGGATGGCATTATGTCATATTGTTTGCTATTTCTGAGTTGCTCAAAGTGGCAACATGGCATCAGCGTCGGGGGTTATATTTATCTGATCTTAAATGAGGTTACGACACACATTCTCAATCTTGGTCCAGTCATGCGGGGGTCAGGGGAGGAATATGTTCCTGGAACGCTGCTGGCAATGGAGCTGAGTCTGAGGAGGACGTCTGTGTTTGCAAACAGCGTTCAGCGTGTGGGATGTTTTATTTTAAGAAGCTGGACAAAGAAACAGTCTGGACTGGAAAATTATAGATGCACAATTATAGAATTATGGACGAAATGATGACCATAATTTCTATGTTTCCAAGTTTCAATAAAGGCCTGGACTTTAGAAAAAAGAAGCATGCAAACAGTGCATGCAGGTTTGTCTTGGTTACCTGAAGGTGAAGGAGTAGCAGGGTGAGCGGTTGTGACAACAGGTACAGTTGTGTGTTGAGATGTAGCCACTGCAGAGCTTTTGTTCAGTGTTTGTGTTTTATATACTGCATTTGTCGCAGTCTCTGAATGCACTGTCCCTTCTGTCTTGGTAGT